GTAACACACTTGTAAAGCCCTTAGAGACGCCGATACGGTAATAAAAACACGGGGACATACCTCCGCCTAGTGGAGCATTTAGGAATCACCCATCATCTAAAGAGCGCTTATCAAAGGCATGGTCATCGTGAGCTTAGAAGCCCATCCCAGTGAGGCAGCACGCCTCCTGCCCGGGGTTCCAGTCCGTCAAAGAGCACACGCGCTACTGTAGACTGTTCGAGAAACCCTGTAATACGGGGTGGAAGCCCACACCAAACATGGAGAACACGCAAATGGTACCAGATTTAAACGCGATATACTTGAAGTTGCGTAATGTGCGGATCTGTACAATTTTGGTGATTTTCGCCAAAATCAATATTAACGCGTTAGTTTCACGTTAGTCCGCAAGTTGATATATGGGTTTGTGTTTCGTATGACATCAGATGTTACGGTACTAGCAAAGTGCTTTTTTGTCTAAATCTAAAATGGTAAATTCAACCGTGCCAAAGAGGGTTTGGTTCGTACACTAATGGTGCTTTTCCACTGCATAGTACGGCACGACACGGTTCAGTTCAGCTCACTATTGGGGGGTTTTCCACTGGGAACAGTACCTGGTACCTGGTCCTTTTTTTAGTACCACCTCAGCCGAGGTTCCAAGCGCGCCGAACCGTTACCAAAACGTGACGTGTAAACTCTACTGGTCACTGATTGGCCGGAGAAAATCGTCATTACTGCGTCACTGAACTTGCGACACGAGACACAACAGACCCGCTAGATTTTTAGCACAGCCAGCGAAGGTTCGGACACACCATCAGCCTCTTTTGAAACAAACTCCTTCGTCTTGCTGTTAAAAACATCCACATGCCGAGAATGAAGAACACCATTCCGTCGATATGCTCCATTGTTGTGTGTTTGTTTGTGGCGCGTTTACGATGATGTCACGGCAGTAGAGGCGGCGCAACTATAACGACACGTGAATAATCCCGCCCACTCTAAAGCGGCACTAAACTGCAGTCGAAACACAAACCGAGCCGAACTGAGCCAAACCAAGGTGAGCTGTACTGAACCGTGCTGTGCCGTACTATGCAGTGGAAAAGCACCATAAATTTACCTTAAGACAATGGTGCCCGGGGCTCGAAAATATGTCAGCACTGATGCAACTAAAACAAGACACTTACCTCGTTTACCGACTCCTGTGGATTATCGAACAGTTAAACCTGCAGGCTTGCCAATATTTATTTTATTGTATTTTAAGGCAATGTCCGTTTTCTCTTTATCGCGACAAAACATGTTTCAAAGGTAGCCAACCTTTTGCGGAACAGTTCAAGGCCAGTCATTGCAAAAGGGAAAAATGTGCATTTTCTTTATTCAACCAGCAGAGGGAAGCACGTGCACGCCATAACCAAGCATTTCCTCCTGAGACCCAAGGAAAAAAGTGTCCTTCGGTTTTAGGTTATTTGTCTTTGGAGGAAATAAGACATCTTGCAATTTAGATTTTTTCAAATTTATTCTTATTTTAATTTCACAGCATGTCCTCTTTAGTGCACAACAAGAATAAATACGTTTCCCAACATCAGTGAAAAAATAAATGCAAAAATACAATGCCCACTACAATGGACATAAATGAATAGGTCGGGTCTCAGGAGGATATGCTGAAACATCTTGTTCGCTCAGAAGGGATCAGAAGAACATTGGAAAGGTCATAATGTCACTGTAGCAGTTGTGTCACATTTTAGCAACACTGTAATATTGCAAAACTGAATTTCGTAGAACTTGCTACACTAAAACGACTTGTTCAGTTATTCGCTTCGCTGCAAAGTGTGAAATTCATTAAAGCATTACGCGTATTCACGCAGCCGCACCAGCGCTACCGAGAGACACGTTTCTCGTAAGGATCACCGTTTGGTGCATCATGAGCTCGGTATTTCCAAAAACGGATACACTCCTTTATGAAACGAACTTGAGGCGTATTTCCACAACATACAGACCATATTTCTATGCCGCCCATATGCATACGGTGATTTGGCTCCACTGCCACCGAAATTGCCAAAATGACAGGCGTCATGGGCTCCTAGCTCGCGCTTTTTCGCTCCGAGCGCGCGCTTCCGTTTTGAAAAGGGAACCATCACATACACTTTCATTCACACTTTACAGTGAGCCTGCAACGAAGTATTTCTCACTAAGTTTACCTTTCAGGCTACAAATCACACTTTCACCAAAAGTCTCCAACATACATGCGGGAATGTTGTCCTCTGAAGCAGAACGTACATGTTAATGCGTAGCTCACACGCTCCACAAATCAAATGCAGCGGCGTTCTTTGGCATACGCTGCATATCCGCCTTTGTCAAGGTATGCATATGGCCCTACCATGACAGGCGCATATAGTGATAATAATCAGCTGCTTATACACACAACCGTGGGAGTTGGGAGGTGTGTATACTGTAAACACGCACCAAGCTTTTTGTTTTCAATTTAGATCCACAATCGTTAACAAGACTGTAGACCATTGAAACAGTTTTATATTTACAAAATGTTTGTGGAAAAATGCATGCGTCTTACTTGACTGAAAGAGAATTTTAAGTGTATACAATGCGGCGAACGTGTGCAGGAGGCCAAGGCGTTTGAACCCTAAATAATGAAAACGAACAGTTCCTATTGTAATTATTATAATATGTAACATGCACATGAATTGTATGTAGGCGTATACGTCTCCGAAAGAGTGCAACAGTCTGTAAAACAAAATCAACTGCCACCAATTTTAACTGTCTCAATGGCCTCGTCTTCTAAAATACTGTTTTCTCGATGTATGACCTCCGTACCACCACTTCCTCTTCTCTGATACAGCGATTGCCGGATTTACTGGAAGCGCACCGTGCAGCAATTTCAAGCTGCACACCACCATCCTATTCATTTACAGAACAGCGGTCGCATTCACATTTTAGTCATACTGCCACTCGAAAAAAAAATGATTTTTCGTTTCGTCACGAGTGGCGCCTTCACTTGATATTTGCTGCAATATCCAGCCTCGTCTCAAAAACGTCCCCAAACTGCGAGAAGCAGCCAAAATAAACCCATAATATGCACTGATCGTTCTTTCAAGTCCAGTTTCGGCGGTCATCGTCATCATCACACACACATACACACTTTGTCAGTTTTCCTCTGACAATTAATTACATAGAAGTTTGAGTCCAATTTTACTGAACGGTCGTCGTTCCCACGTAACCTAGGGGTCTTTGACATGTGGTTCAGTTTACAGTGGCGCCTGATTTAATCCACTGGGAGTTACGCTTCTGACTGCATTTTATAGATGAACCTTATATTATATGTATATATTAGGCCTAGGCTAGAAAATACAAATGCATTAATCCATCCATCATTTAAAAAAATAAACTCGTGAACCTAATGATTTCTTGATGGGGTAAGAAGTAGAATTAAGTAATAAAACGAACACTTATTGGGTTTATCACAGAATGTCTGCGCATGCATGAAGCTCCAGGCAAAAAGGTCGGTGTGACCGCCCAGAGATAAGGCCATTCTCCGTATTTACATACACCCACACTAACACTTCCTTTAAAACTCAGCACTGGAGTGAATAACCCGTTTCCCCACTGAAATACTTTTACATCCTCAAACCTTTTCTTTAGTTCTGCATAACTGTAGCTGCAGGTCGTAGTTCAGAATAATTGTCCTTTCCTGTTTTATGTATACATACACACACTGTTTGAAAATTAGACAGATTCCCTGTTTTAAAACACGCATTTCTTCTACATTTAGCCTACGCCTTGGAAAGGTTTGCAGTGGAGGCCCTGGGCTTAAGAATTGCACAAACGGAAAACACCTTTCTATTCAAAAAATGAATCGCACCCTCGCTCTTTCTGCTAGATGAAAACCACATGAATGAACGCGGCAGTGGGAAATCCCAGAACTGTAATACCGAAATACTGAGAAAACAGGTTGATTGTGTCAGTAAGAAACAACGGCCCGCGTTCAGACATTGTAATTATGTCCTATCAGTCTACATTCGCCCGACAAACAATGACTTCGGCCACAAGCTGCACTAGAAAGCTTACATGTTCATTTATAAAGGTGAGTCTAAGTGTGTGCTATATTCCTGCCATCCTCACCCTAACAGAAACAAATAATTGCACGAAGATTCTAGTTTTAAAGGGTTAACTTATTTGATTTCCACGTGGCAATGTGAGAAATGAAGGCAAACTCATTTCTGATACGTGACCCTAATACATAAAACGAGGCAAACGGAAACGAGCCGCCGCCCCCAGATCCATAGGCACACGCCCTACCGGCCGTAGGCAGCTCCATTGTATTAAATACGTCGGACAGTCCCTCCCTAAAAAAGGCGAAGAAGCGGAAACTTTTTTCACTGGATATATATGTTTGGAGAAACGAAAAGAGGGGGAGACGGACCTCGTGCATGAGACGCAGCCCAGCGCCGAGGGGCCGAGCGGCTACATGGGGCCGGGACGTTTCTCCCCAGATACAGCTTAGCAGGTGCCGCATTTAGCAACAGGAACACACCCCCCTCCCGGCGGCTACGCAACGCAGCAAAATGAAACTGCATGACTCTGCAGTCTAACCATAGGTTTGAGCCGTCGAGTTTGAAATAGAGACCGGGGGGGGGGTACAGGAAGCCTAACTTACTATCTCTAGTCTCTACCGACAGACTTCCTCTCTCTGGTCGATAACGTTCAGCGCACCGCTGCATGTGCCATGCCACCTTTTCCTTTTCAAATGTGCACGCAGGTCTGCCGAGAATTAAAAAAAAATCTTTTGGAAAAACCTTCGAGACCGAGCATCACGTTTAAACTGCCAGCTTTCAATTTAATGAACGAGAAACCCACGAGATAAAGTCGGTGTGTGTGAGTTGTCCAAACTGTAACTTTTAGCACTCCTGCTTATTATAAGCATTTTGACGCTGCACACGTCCTGAAACGGGCGCCCGGAGCTGCGGCTTCACGCCAGATCGCCGCGGCCGCGGGCTGCTCAGCTTCCCGTTACTTACCGCGCACCGTCGCTTCTCCCCTCCGGAGCTGGAAACTTGAACGTCCGGGACCGGAGACGCAGGACACTTTTTAACTATGAGAAATCTGCGTGACTGTCTAGCAAATGTACTTCCACCGATGGCAGTAATCATATAATGACCCTTGCTGTCAGACTGGCTTGTCCTCTCGCTATTCACCCAGTAGGCTGGATTTCGTAGTGCTACTGCCATTCAAAGTAAGTCAGCGGTTGAACCGTGGCTTTCCCCTTCTGCTCGGTCACACCCACCCCGTACACTGACATCTAACAGCAACGGCTCTTGTACTGCAACAAAAAAAGTTTCACTCAAAAAAAAAAAAAATCGCAGCACGTTCGCCCTTTCCCTTTTTAAGACCTGCAAAGTGTGTTCATTCAGACTGAAATTAACAGAAACGTGTGTAGAAGCTCGCGCCTCATGCAGACATCGTCTAAGACCCAATGCGGTTTCAATGAAAAAAAAGTGCCAGAATTCGTCATTATGTGGGCTAATTGAAAAATTTGCACAATATTTTACTGTCCATACAATAAATATAATACCAAAAACGAACACACACACGGATTAAACTGATGCAGCGTACTGGCTGAAGATGGGAACTTATTAATAGACACAGCAAACTTAGTTGCACGGTGCTGCCAGGAAACTGTGAAGCTCGCGCTGTTGCATGCGCTCGCGGCTCTCCCCATCCACCATGGAAAAAGCGTGTATTCAGCCCCCAGTCTTTCCTGCCTGCGGCATCCTACGTGCCATGCCATATTTAGGAGCTCCGGTCACATTTTAAAATGTATTTTCTGCCTGTTCTGGATGTCCTGGTCACGTAAATTGACAGCTCGTGCGTTTATGATAGGCATAACAGGCGGGAAGTGTTTTCACAGGGCAATACAGGGAACTATCCCCTATGATACTGCCGCAAAGCAACATACGGCCAGACAATCCACACAATCTATATACAGTTCTTCTCATGAAATGTTCTAGAATGTCACTGCAGTGGTATTGCATTAGCTCTTAGATAAATCACAATAGCTAAACTGACTTATATGTAGTAAACGTGTTTGCTGTAAATTATAGCATTTTGATATTCTCCATGTGACCAATGTATATTGGAAGACTCAGTGTGGCTTAGCCTTGGTGTTTGTGCACTGAATAGCTGCTAAGGGACAGATGTGGCCGTCGTCATGCCCCAGAGCACCCAGGACGGCAGCCATGTGTGGATCCCTCTCCAGACATTCACACTGATCTTTACCGAGCCCCACTTTTTGAAACAGCTCACGTCCACATGACTTCAGGCCACTAGCCACACTTCTGCTCTGTGATCACAAGCTCAGATAATGAAATAATTCCTGCAGCCTTGAACGCTGCATCCACCACAGAGCACTTACCCTGGAATGTGTTTACTCAGAGAGAGGAATTTGCTGTGTTCTGGCTGCTCAAACAGGCCCAACACAGCTGTACAGTCGAGCGTCTCTCAGATTCAAAAACCCCTCTCCAGAGACACGGTTTATTAATACGCAGATTATACTGCCGTGGCAATGGGCGACAACATTAACATGGACAACAAATAAAAATAAAACGGAGAATGTGCATTGTTTTATGTGTGGACTGTTTTCCTCATACACGCCCTGTGTAAGTTTGCTTAGTGGTTACGGCCATGAACCAGAACACATTTATGTTCCCAGGAAGCTCCCTGCTGTTCTGTCATTTTTAACAGCCCCCCCCCCCCAAACTGACAAGCAGTATGCGACGTCAGGACTGTAATGTGTCAGAGAGACTTTTCCGGAGCCTGTTCGGTGTGACTGACTGGCCCTTCCTGCACAGCACATCACGGGTTACTGCGAGCCACAGGCCACAGAGCCAAAGCAAACAGGAAGAGCCACCACCACCATGCCTCTCTGGAGGAATTTCTCCGCCATTCCAGTAGAGATGCCAGTGCTATTTGATACCTGGTGATTCTCAGAACTCGCTAGAAAACAACTGCGGCTCTACGCCCTGAGAAATAAAGTGCAGTGACCTAAACCCAGCTTTGCACTGGAGTTTCTACAAAAAAAAAAAAATGCAGCTGGAATTCCTCTCATGATGCACAACTGGACCGTGCTTCCGCTCGGCAGGGGCATAAGGGCCTTTTGTTGTGCGTGGTGTGAGACGGCCACGTGGAGGCAGATGAGAGGCATTCCAGTGGGCCGACGTCACCCACCACAGGCTTGCAGACCCGCCCTGAATCCGTGCTGGGCCGCAAGATGCGTTCACTTCTGAAAAGGGAAGAGAGCCCAAACCGTGATGTGATGGAAACTTCCCACGAGACTCTGCCCCCCCTCCTGTGAAACTTCGCCTATGATATTTAATCTAAGAATCATCCAGTGTTGTTCAGGACTCATTATCAGTGGGGTGGGGCCATTTCCTCTGACATTTCTGGGAGACGATGCGAAAGGGGCCCAATGACTGTTTGCAGTTACCGGCTCTGCTCAAGACGTGCTTAACGCGACATCGCCCAGGAAGACGGACGCCCAGAGAGACCGGAATGGCAATCTGCATACATCCTGATACATCGAGCCCCCCCCTATGAAGGGCATCAGGAAGATTATCGCTTGTGCCAGAGACAGCGGCAGAGCCGAAAACGCCACGAGTGGGAATCAGGGTTTTACATTCCCAACAGTAAAAACTCAAACATTAGAAGTGCCTAAATCCCTCCTCAGGATCCCACATTGCCCAGAGTTGGGGGGAGGGGTCACCAGTAAGTTAAGGTGTGTAACATGCTCCATAAATGAAGAGAGATCTGGTTTGATCCAGGCTGCCGTCGACATCGGCACAGATGTATGTCCCGGAGTGCGGCCACGTTGTATCGCCACATCTGCTGTCGGGTCTTAAAGTGTAACGCAGAACCTGCAGAATCAGAGAGGAAACTTGGTGCCACAAGGCCTTCTTCCCACGGCTGTTTGCCAACGGCGTCGCCATGGAGATTAAAGGGGAGAACCAGTCAGAAAGCGAATGGGGCCCAGTGTGGGACTTTACCCCCCGTCCCATGTGGCGTCAGGGGTAGTGATTGTCGTCCACAATGCCTCCTACTCCGCATCCCCCCCCCCACACGGACTCCCCTGGATGACGGCATGAAACCGCAGGGGCACTGACGGCTGTGCCCCCCGACGGCTGTGCCCCCCGACGCGTCACAAGAATCACCAACAGCTGAAATTCACCAGAACCTCCGGCCGTTTCAGCTCTGTGACTTCATCTGTGACCCAAACCGGAATCTCCTAACAGATAGACCTGTAAACACACACATTGTTGCAGGCGCACATGCGGCATAACGGGAGACAGACTCTCCGCAGAAGCGTTACGGGTCACGGGGCTGCGTTGTGTGGTCCGGCAGCCATTGCTGGGAGCCACACGGCCACTGGCATCTCTGATGTGCCAAAAACGTACATTCTGGATGCAGGGGATTCCAATTTAACCCAAGAAGTGGAAATTATATCCGGCACTGGGCCTTTTGGAGGTGCCTGCCACACAGGATTCTGCTCACTCAGACGAAAGCTAAGAGAACATTCTAGAACGTCCAGTCAGAAAAATGGCCAGATCTGGCCCAATAATCTTCTCAAAGCGAGAAATTATGGTAAAATCCTGAAGTCTGTATGAAGATGTTCCTGAGGCAATATATATTTCCACTGGATTTCCACTGGATTTCCACTGGATTCCTGACCCGCAGACCAGAAAGGTCACAGGACCTAGAATTTATTTTTTTCATTTAATTTCCTTCATTAAGATTCACAGACAAAAAATTGTTTCACGTAAAAAGAAATACTTTATGTACAGCACTTGGTAAGAAATGATCTTAAGTGAGGTTTGACGTTACTGGGTCTGTGCAGCCCAGACAGACAGGGGGCAGCGTTAGAAGACAGGGCACCCCCCCACGGGGTCTCCAGCCTCCAGCAGCAGGGGGGCCAGGCGGAGCAGGGCGCGTACAGGGACCCCCAGCTGGCTGAACCTCAACAGCAGCTGCGGGAAAGAGGTGCATCCTGGGAAAGGAGAGAGACACGGGTGAGGGGGCACAGATACACCTCATTACCCGGCGCTTTTTAAAAATAAAACTACATATGACTCATCACCCCCTCCCCCCCACCTGTGTCCCTGGAATTAAAACTAAACCCCAAAAAGATGGCGGGTCTGGTGTCTTCATGGGGGACAGACCAGTTCGTGGCTCCAGTTCGTGGGTCTCCTACCTTCCAGGTCGTCGACGGCCATCTTCCTGAAGCTGGGGATGGAGTGGAAGACCAGGTAGCAGGCGAGCGCAGCGGAGTGGGGGCCCTCGGCGGAGTGGGGGCCCTCGGCAGAGCCCTGGCCCCTCAGGTAGCTCTGCAGGATGGCGCTGTTGTCTGCCGGAGCAGAGGTGTCACATACTTCCTGTGTGGTTCGCCTCCCGCGCAGACGCAGACGCAGACGCAGACGTTTTTGCATATCTGCCTTACTGGGGACTTTCCATTCGCTCTCAGTTTAATTGATAAGCTGTTAACCCTAAAGACCCAGCTACTCCAGGCCGGCGGAGGCGGACTGGCCGCCCATTTGAGGGCGCAGCTTCACGCTGGAGCTCTGCCAGGCGGCCATGCTCACCTCCCGGCCTGCGGGGTGTGTGTGTGTCGGGGGGGGGGGTCTCACCACACAGCCAGCTGTCCAAGGCCCGGTCGGCAGAACACTTCATGATGGCCAGGAACTCGGAGCTGAGGAGCAGCCCCCGGTCGTGGGGGTCGCTGCGGCGCTCCTGCAGCACTCGGCTGTCACACAGCTCCAGCACCAGCTTCACCTGCCACAGGGTGAAGGTCTCGCACACATCGCCCCCGCGGAGGCCCTGTACAGCCTGGGGGAGGACGGGGGCATCACATCAGAGACACACCGGCCAGCGCAGTCCCCGCCCGCCCTCCCCATGCCTCTAGGGGCTGCGGGGTGACTTGCAGCTCATTCTCCATCCAGGGGTAGGTTTGTCATTTCTGGGGGCCCACCTAAAAGAAAATCACCTCCCCCTGGCCCCCCCCACTGTAGTTTGAGCGACTTGAATGGTGATGAACACTGCTGCCGTCTTTATCACACGCAGGACACAGAAGGTTTACCTGCCACATGGTAAAAGGCCCCCTTAATTACCAGATGCAGCCTGAAGCCATCGCTGGCATATCTGTACCCTTTTCTCAGTCAGAAAAAAGGGTATAGATACAAACATTAATGTACCACCAATGGTCAATTTCTGTACCCTAAATTAGAATGAAAGGTACATTTACCTACAGCTAGGGTACAATTGGCAGACCCTTGAGGGTACAGCCCCAGTGACAAGTAATTGTACCCTCAAAGGTACAAACTGGTACTCTTTTTCTGACAGTGTAATGCGACCATCAAATGTCACTGCAGGACAGCAGCATTGCAAGTAGAGACACGTAAAGCGCAGGCGGGCAGATGGGTTGAAGAATTCCGTGTCGTGCAGGACGCCCGACCTTTTCGCCGCAGACGGGAGACTTCGGCCCCTCACCTGATCGACGGCGATGTAGGTGGGCAGGATTTCGGGGATCTCCTGGGTGACGCACT